ATTTTCATAACTGCATGTCTTTTAGCTAAAAAAAACATATTTCGTTTGGCAAATTATAAAAATGTAGACCCTTACTTATGAGACCCTGCACAAGAATTTTTATATTTTAGTGAAAATAGTTAATGTTCGTTTTCTTCTTATATAATGAATTTCTGTATTGAACTTGTCTTAGCCAAGTTTCCAGGAATATTCGATTCAGCATGGCATATTTATATTTTTTGAAAAGTTATTTAGACTAAATTCAATTTTTAAAAATTTATGGCAAGTTTTTTTCAGATGAATATATTTCACTGTCTAATACTACTTCTAAGTATACCCACCATGCTGACCACAATTTCACTTTCCAATTTCTTGCGTTAAGTAGTTTACCCCAAATCGTATGCAAATCACTTGTGAAAAGAGTCTCGTTTTGTATTACATTTCGCACAGCACGTGCTGCATGTCATAACGATTAGCACGCTGGCATGACATATTTACTTTAGCCACATAGATAACCTCAAATGCTCACATGCTTACATATGTATATAAACACATATTTACATATGAAAGTGGAGGCAGAAACGTGTTGACTCGTCAGTGTTGACCTGCTTTTGTGACGAGGTCATGAAGAAATCTACACACACAAACTTTGCTCTCACTTAATCGGCCTGGAATTAGCTTTTACAGCAAAAGCTGATTGATAACAAATTTGTATATGTATGTACCAATTACATATAGTATAATATGTACTATTGTTTAGCTATTCAGTAAAAAAATTAAATAAATGCGCAATTGAAAAAAAAAACAATAAAATAAAATAAACAAAAAATATATTAAAAAAAATTTTAAAACTTTTTAGAGCGATATTCAGAATACTCGCCTAAGTGACGATTTGTATGATACTCAATTTTGGATCAAGGTGCATGTATTGTCGTATAAAAGTAACAATAAATTATAAATGAACCAGTTTCTTGTTGTATTATGCGACTTTTTTATTATGAAATACTTAAAAATATACGCAATACACAATCGGTGCTAAGCTCTGTGACGCAATCCGTCACTGTAGCAACTAAGCAAATTTTTCTTTTTTTTTTTTGAAGACATACTTCCAATTTTGCGACAATAGTATCAAATTTTGTTTACTAATCAATTGCTGCTATTAAGTGCAACAAATAATACCAGTCATCGCTACATATACATATCTACATGTATGTATGAATGATATTGAGAAGGTCTCCTATATTATTGCTGAGTTTTGATTTGCATAATAAAAGTTTGCAACAATTTTTGAATATTTTCTATAAAATCAAAAATTGAAAAAAAAAACATAAATAAACAACCGATATAATAGAAATTATTAACTAAAAACTAAAAAACTGAAAAAAGGAATTAAAGAAAAATTAATAATATGAAATAAATACCAAAGAGAGGTAATATGAAAATACATGCAAAAAATAAGATAATAAAATAAAATTAAAAATAAAATAAAACAAAATGAAATAAAAAAATTTAAATATGTAATTAAATAAAATAATTTCAATTTGAATTGGAAATAAATCAAATTAACGAATATAATGAATTGAAATATTGCGCAAAAATAAAAAATATTAATAAATTTAAAAAAAAATAACATAAAATTAAATGAAATATAAAACAAAAATTGTCTGCAAATAAAAAAATTTAAATTACAATAAAAAAAAAAATATATAATACAACAAAAATTATATAATTTAACAAAATAAAATAACATGAAATGCATAAAATTAAACTAAACTTAATCAAATAAATAAAAAATAATAATTAAAATAAAAAAATATAAAACACTATAAAATAAAATAATATGAAATAATTAATTATAATAATTCTAATTCTAATTGAAATTAAGTCAAATTAAAGTAAATTATAAATAGTAATATAAAATAAAATGAAATCCAAACCAAAAAATTAAATACAAAATGAGAAAAACTTAATCAATGTAAATAAACTAACTTCAAATAAAATGCAATGAAATAAAACAATTAAATAGTATAAACTTAAAATGAATTAAATTAAATAATACCAAATAATATAAAATCATATAAAACACAATAAAAAAAATATGATGAATAAAGTAAAATGAAATGAAATAAAATTAAAAACAAAAATAAAATAATATTTATTATAATAATTTAAATATATAACTTTAATAAAATAAAAACGAAACAAAATAAAATAAAGTAAAATCAAAACAAATAAAAAAATAAAATAAATGATACTAAAATAAAATAAATTAAATAACATAAAATAAAGCAAAATATAATAAAATAAAATAAAATAAAATAAATAAACTAAAATGACATAAACTCAAATCAAATAAAATAAAGTAAAATAAATAAAAATAAAATAAATTAAAATTATGAATGAATGAATATAAAAAAAAAAATAACAAAAATAAAATAAAATAATTAGAAGCAAAAAAAAATTAAAAAAAAAAACAAATAACAAAAGATTAAAAATAATAATAAAAAAATAAAAATATAATAGTTTAAATAAAATAAATTAAAAAGGAATAAAATGAAAAAAATAATATTTCTTATAAAAATTTATATATAAAATTTTAATAAAACAAAAACAAAATAAAATAATATGAAGCAAAATAAAATATTATAAAAAAAAATAATATAATATAATTATAAAATAAAATTAAATTAACAATACTAAAATAAAAAACATTAAATAAAGCAAAATATAATAATACAAAATAAAATGAAAAAAAATAAATAAAATGAAATAAATTAAAATTATACAAAAAAAATTAAAAAATTAATAAAAACAAAATCAAATAATTAAAAGCAAAAAAAAAATTAAATGAAAAAAAATGAAAAAAAACAAACAAAAATAACAAAAAATTAAAAAAAAAAATAAAAATATAATAGCTTAACTAAAATAAAATAAAAAAAGTTTTAAAAATAAAAATGAAATCAAATATACTGATATAAAAATACGAATAAAATAAAATTATTGAAATGAAACAAGTTAAAAAAATAAAATAATATGAAAGAAACAGCAATAAGATAATATATAATAAAATAAAATAAAATAAAATANTAAAATACAATAAAATTAAATGGGGTTAGATAAAATTCAATTAAATTATAGTAATTAAAAATAAATAAACTGTACTACTACTATTGTATTAAAAAAATTTTAAAATAAAAGAAAAAAATTCATGAAAACTTGTAAAAATAAATTAAAATAAAAAAGAGTGGTCTTTATACCTTTCATAACTACAATATATCAAAGGTATAATTCTTCATTTTAGGATTAAATAATAATAATGCTCATATCTTAAACACCCGTTGAATTTCGATGATTTTCGGTGACAATGGTGATTTGTGCCGGCGTGTGTGTATGAGGGGATTAACAAAAGTTCGGTCAGCTGCTGATTTTCGATTTGTTTTTGTTAAATCTAAAAATCGTTGAAGCCTTTTTGGACAGATTGATTACCAAAACTTTTAAATCGGTACGACTATATCTGAATACTAAGTTTGCTGTTACTATCTCAAAAATTTAATTAAAAAAAAATAAATATAATTTTTTTTTATTTAATTTTGGTCAATCACTCATACGTTTGCGTTCTTTTTTTTTAAGGTACCAATAAATATAACTTGTTTATTTAAATCCGCTTTCGAAACTGGTTTGTGGGTTAGAAAATTATACATACTTATTTAATGTTTGCAAATATTAAATTTTTTGTTATAAGTATTAGTAAACTAAAGACCTGGTTTGTTTGTATGAATTGAATATTTCATTATACTACAAAGAAAAATGATAGAAGTGACAGCTGTTTCGGCGATCACCACATCTAATCAATTTAATTTAATTTTTTTCTTTTCCTACTCATGTGTAGACTCGTACATCTACATGTAAATATGTATTTAAACTAGCGGCATACATATAAATATGTCGATTTACGAATATATAATGTACACTTGAGTAAGTATTTTTTGTTATATTTTATGCCGGCTGCTTATTGATAGTTATTGAGTATATAGAGCATGATTCATAAATCTCTATATATAAAAGTAAATAAGAGTTTATTATATATATAAATTTATAAATATTTTATTTTTAATAAAATTTGATCTAATTTATTTAAAAATGAAACTTCGAAATTAATGTATGTTTAAACGCCAAAAAACATTTCTCATTTACATATACATTCAATTACGTTAGAAATTCCACTGGTTTTCGACAGAGAATTCGTTTCAGACTACAACAGAAATCACACACAAACTTGCACCTCAAAAAATGTTAGAATAACGGCTTTCTGGCAATAGGAAAAATGCCTTAACATCATTTTATTTTATTATTATATCACTTTATTTTAATTTGTTTAAATTTTATCAATTATATTTAAAAATAAAAAAGTTTTGTCCTTTCAATTTTATATATATACATAAACCACATGTTTTCAAAACATTAATACACATGAACAGTCTGCTTAACAGACTTCCATATATCCTAATACATATAAATATATCTATGTATGTAAGCATGCATATTTATTGCACATCTTTTTGCACTGTCTACCGCCGGAAAATATTGTAATTTGTGGCCGACACTTAAGTCAAAGGAAAATAAATACTCGTAAATAACTGTTTTGCATATTTTACCAGCAAATTTTAACAACTTAATAATTCTTTTTTGATCTATAATTTAACACTCAGACATTGGCTTGCACACGCATGAAATATTTATATGGTACTTGTATGTATGTATGTATTCCCCAGCAGGTGTTAAAAGTCCAAATATAATAAAGCTGTCGACTTGTAGCCAAACAATGCAAAATGCATACATGCAGGCGTACATACATAAATGCTTATAGCCATATGTACATATGTGTGTATGCGCATACATAAAAAATCAATTTTAAACACCAAACAATCATTTAAATGTCGAAAGAAAACAAAACAACAAAAACTGACTAATTTCTATTTTTGTTTGACTTTCCTCATCTCTTCTTCTTCTTTTCTTTGCAGATTTGTGCGTTAACTAAAGACAAACAGAATTGGTGAGTGTCAGATTATTTGTTGTCGTTTGTTTGTTGCTTTTTCTATTTACTATATTTATTTATTAATTTTTAATGTGAAAAAGTGAAATTTCACTTTCTAACATTTCAACAACTTGCGCATGTGTTTTTTCCTTATTTTTTTTTTTTTTTTTTTTTTTGTAAATCGGAAGAGTCCGTTAGCAAAAAAAAATTCCACTTTACGATGAGACATCGGAAGCTGTAAAAAGCCACATATTCTATTTAATATTTGTTCCCACATTCACTTTTCATTTGTTTCGCCATAAATACCGGGGAGAGCCATCAATTTGGCAATAAATACAATTTTTGGTGTCAAGAAATCCCACACTTTTTCTTGAGCAGGTGCATGTGTGTGTACACATATGTACACATACAGATTCATAAAAACCAGCTGTAATGTTTTTTAATTTATATTGTGTCCTACTTTTGATCATTATTAGAAGCCAAACGTTGTTGTTGCTTATAACCAAATATTACACTTTTCTCGATCTCCTTTGCGGTAAAGAGTACACATGCTAATCTCCGTAAAAAGCTACCAACGCATTCATTTCGTGTATATCCAATTCCTATTTTTGGTGCATTTCCGGGAAAGAAAAATATTCTTTATGTCTCCGCAGTGAAAGCGAAATCTTCGAACAAAAATTTAACCCAATAGAAACAAAAATATTTTTTCTTTCTTTCTATAATTAGTTTGGTCCACTTCTGGGTAGGAAACATATTTCGAATATGTCGATTCTGTGAGAAAAATTATGATCTTGGCAAAATTCAGCAAATTTCAAGGGAATTAAAACAAAAAAACTATCAGCATTATCTGCCACGTACATTCGAAGTTTGTAGGAAACCAACAAAGATTTTAATAATAAAATCCAAGCGGTTTTTGGTATATATTAAGGAATTAGTCGTCAAAAATGATCGATTGACTTTTAGAGACATTATTGATATGGCTGGAATATCAGTAGAATCTTTAAGCACTTTTTTCTAAAGGACTATTTGTGCAAAAAAATACCAGCATTATGGGTTTTTGCATCACGATAATGAACCGTGACACATAGCACTCACGAATATCGTTCCGCAATCACTGTATTCGCCGGACTTAGCACCATGTGACTTCTGTCTCTGCCAAAAACTCAAGAGACCATTTCACTTCGACCGTTTTGAATCGATTGAGGAGATTAAACGCGAATAGGCGCGCTCTCTGAAGGCGATATCAGAACGTGACTATTTCACGTGCTCCGACAATGGGAAAAAGCGTTGGCGTAAGTGCTTTGCATCGGCAGGAGAATATTATGAAGGCTACGAAATCGATGTAGAAGAATAAATAAAGATTTTTAATTTTACAAAAAAATTTACCTTACATTTTGCCCACAGTAGTATACATATATATGAAACATTACTTAAAACCCACTTATGAGAAAATTAGCGCAGTAGTAGGAAGTAGAACAAGTTTCTGCATATAAAGCTCTCATATAATTACATACGAGTATATAAATAAATAGATTACTTTGATGATATGAGTAACTAACTTGTAGAATTATAATATTTACTTCAGCTACGTGTGTATATCTGCATGTATGTACACGTATGTATTTATGTAAGTATTTCTCGGTCACTTCACTTTTATTTCTTGAAATCGCAAGTTTTTACCGTTGACATTCGCCAATTACTAGTTTTCGAATTTTATTTTTTTTTTTTTGAATTTTTTCCTTTTCTTTTTCGCAACATTTTTATGACACACTCTAAGCATATTTCATGGCTATAAAAACAAAAACAAAAACTAAAACAAACCGTAATAAAAAGTGGGCACTCAACAAATTATTATGCAGCCAATTGCTGTCCGTTGGCTTAACTACCAAACAACAACAACAACAACAACAACAACAACAGAGAATTGATTGCAGACAGTGTGGCTGTAGTTATTCATTTCGCGTTGTGACAGTCAGCAATGACAACAGGAATTACAATCAAAAAAAAAAAAAAAAAAAAACAAGAAGTGAAAACAAGCATAGAAGTAATGCATATAATAATTTTAATTAAAACAAGTCGAAAACCGCTGACCATTGGTTGAACCGTGGTTAAAATGAACGAAAAAAAAAGAAAAACTAAAGACAAAAATTCACTACAACAATGCGCTGCTTCTTAAGTGTAGAGTGTCAAATTTTGTTTACTACCGTATGAGCATGCGCTATATTAATGCGCAACTGAGAAATCTCCTAAAATTATATGGCCGAGGCGCCTGCGCATGCGCCGCACTTGGGGCTAAATGCATGTCCGGCGTCAAATACGTCAATCGAAAAATCACCGGATCCACATGCAATCACGGAAGTCTGCGCATTGTTTTGAGCATATACATATACACACATACATGTAAGATATGTGTAGATTTGCTTCTGGTTTCCTTTAGCTGACTTAATATTTAATAATTAAATTAAAAACTTCAACAAAACACAAATACATACACACATATAATATTTATCTAAACAAATGTGCATACATACACACAAACACATGTATGAGTATGTAAATGAACACAAATGTTCACATCGTATATCAACGTAAATGCGCGTTAAAAAGTGAAACGGTTTTTGGTGTTGAAAACAAAAAGAATAAATAAATAAAAAAAGGCAAAAAAATTTATTTCCTTTTTTTTTGAGTGACCAAAAATAAACGCCCAAAATTGTCAACGCCACCTTTAATTACCTTATGCGCTTGTTTGACTTGTCTGTACGAAAGCGAAAAGCGGAAAAGCAAGAAAATCACTTTCAATTGTTGTCAGCAAAATTGTCAAAACGAAACAAAAACCGCAAAGTTTGGCATTGCGACCTCTACGTATGTACATACATAGATATATATGTACATAGTTAGTGTATATATATGTATGCAACGCGGTATGTGGTTTTAACACTTTTTTGTTTGCATTATTTATTCTAATTTTCAGTCTTATTTGCATAGATTTATATTTAGTTTAAAGGTAAAATACGTCGAAACTTCTTATTAGCGGTCGTTAAGCACACTGTGTTGCTTAACAAAAATGTTGCTTAACAAAAATGTTGCTTAAAATAATTTTGTTAAATAATAATAAAAAAATAGACTTAACTGGAATACCATATCACCTTAACTTTTGTCAATAATAGTCATCCCTGTATGTGGTAAAACACTCATATGTATGATTTCCTCCAACCTTCTGCCTCAATAAGAAGTCTCCTTCATTTTTGAGGCTATATAAATTTCAGTGCCCGACTTCATAACTTTAAACATTAGCATAGGGAGTATCTTGCAGATGGTACTTTTCTACTTTGGAAGAGTACAAATTATCAGAAAATAGTAATGAAAAGAGTTTCTTATTAGAATTAGTGATTAAAGCTTGGTTAGGTAGCAGGAATATATTTTCATTCTTGAATAAATTCATCTATTCCAATGACTCTTGAAGGAGCTGGGTTGTGAATTCCAAGAATGACCATTCCATTTTTGACCTTATGAATTTATAGGCTAGAGCTTCTGGGGAAATATTGGAGATGATGCAGGGTGTCTATACCAAATTTTGCGTGGGAAACTTGTTGAGCCGAGTTTCTCGTCAAAAAAAGTGTTGAAGCGAGTTAGAGACTTCCGTGGAAGTTTTGACATATTTAAGCCATTCCTGATGCTGACCAGGCATGATGTAGTGCAAGTTTTCAAATATATGCCGAGCACCTCGAGTTTAAGATCTAAAAGATGATTTCCTAAATCACTGGAATGTTTAATGAAAGCGCCAAAATTAGTTCTTTTTGTATTTCACCTTACCCAAATGTTGTCGCTTCAAAGTTCTATACTCAACTCAACTTCCTGCAGTGTTGACTGCCGCTCCTCTATACCTAACAAATTTTCGTATGCACCTCTAGAAAGTTCTGTTTGATTGTTATCGATAACACATCCAGAGAAGATGATATTTTTGGATCACACGAACTTACCCTTTCCCACAGTTCCTAAATAATTTATATTTTCCCAAAAATTTTGATATTTTTTAGTTTCGACATCGACTTTACTTCTGCGAAGGGTCGTTTTTATGTTCACGGAATGGGGGATAAGGGAGGAAAATAATATAACGAATTTATTTTACCTTTTCAATATATTCAACGCAGCATTTTTCAGATCTTTCAGTTAATTTATTTATGCTCTCATAGAAAAATAGTTTCTCATTGTCTTCAAAATAAGCCGAAACTGCCTCCTTGATTCGGTCATCGGTGGTACATTTTTTACCTTTCAACTCATTTTAAATTTTTCGAAACAGTTAAGAAACACTCGAGGTTCGGTCTGAGCTGTAGGGTGGGTGGTTCCAAATATCGTAACCCACCATATACACGGCAGCCAATGCTACGCGGCTATTGGTTTCACTCACGCCTAGCATTATCGGCGCCCTTGGCTATGCCGAGATAATCATGCAGGATTTTAAAAATGATTGTAACGGATACAACAACCATTTCTACGAGCTGTTTCCAAAATATATTTCAACATAATCGCGCACAATTTTTTCTGCAAAGATTCTGCCGTGTTTTTAAAAATTTTGAAAGCAAATCAAAATAATAAAAATATACATTCTGAGGCCTTTCTAATTTTGCTTTATTCTCATATGGATTGAACATTTAATGTGAGCTTTTTTAATGAATTTACTACTTACTGTCTTATTTTGATGTAATAAAGTTTACCAATTTAAATATTTCAATACCTAAATGCGTAGTAAAAAATGCAATTTCATACCGTTTTCTACTTCATTGCTATGTGTGTATGTATGTAGCTCGTAAAGCCATAACAGCAGCAACACCTCAACCAAATATATCGAATGAATAATGGGTCCAAAATAGGTTAATGAAAATTTAAAATCAAAATCGTAAATCTTGTCCTCTTTCAATTTAATGTCGCTCATAAAAGCAAACTCTCGGCAACGGAGCGTTTATCGCTGATGCTGGGGAAAATTTTAGCTATTGCAATGATCGCTTGCTTAGGAAAAAGTGTTTAATAGTCAAAGCTGCTTATTTTTTAAATAGCGATCGAATAAACGTAGACGATCGATTACAGAAAATTAATAGCATTTTAAAAGCAAAATACTCACACACACATACATAAATTTGGATGTATGTATATATAACTAAAGCGAATTGTAGCGCTAAGCTTAGTATGTAGCTGCAACAACAAAATAAAATTTTAATATAAAAAAATAGAGAAAAAAGTTCAATAAAAATGGCATGAGCCAACAATAACTTTCGATTGAATAGACTAAAAGAGAACTGTGCAAGAGGCAGAGCAGGCATCAGCAACAGCAGCAGCAGCAATAAGTCCGCGTACGGCTATCATGAGCACAACATCTCCTTCCAGTCAGCCAGAAGTCAACAACACTTGTTGGTTGCAACAACATGTACAACACACACATAAAGTGAACAATTGCGAACGTTTGCTGCCACATGATACATTCAAGCATATGTACGAGTATATAATATATGTACTTATATGCGTGTCGTGTCTCATAGCGTGGCGAAAGGCGTCATACAGCCATACGTATTACATACATATATACACAAAGTCCTTACTCGTTATTAACCGGACAATAACTGGACACATGTATGTACAATATGTATGTATGTAAGTGCATATGCAGTGCATATGCTGACTAACGATGGCACAGGTCGCAACGCTTTGACAACCATCAATACTTAGCGCATGTACGTGTATGGTGTGAAAACACTTTCTAATGACATTTTAACCAGTTCAAATGGTTTTGCGAAAATTGAAATAGTAAAAATACATAATTATGAGAGTGAAAATTTATGACCACATAAGTAATTAGCGGTATGTTAGTAATGTAATTAAATTACTTACGGACATTAAATTCGATTAAAGTAAAAAGGAAGTGAAATGTAATGTAAATATATTTGAAATATTATATAAAACATTCGAAATTAATTTAAAAAAAATAAAACAAAAACAAATAAAATAAAGTAAGATTAAGCTCAACATTTTATAACTAATACTTATTTTAGTTAAGTTTAGCAATATTTTATGTTTAGCAATATTATATGTCTAGCAACATTTTATTTTTAGCAATATTATATGTCTGGCAACATTTTATTTTTAGCAATATTATATGTCTGGCAACATTTTATTTTTAGCAATATTATATGTCTGGCAACATTTTAGGTCTAGCAATATTTTATGTTTAGCCATGTTTTCTGTTTAGCAACCTTTTATGCTAATCAATATTTTATGTTTAACAGCATTTTAGTTCTAGCAATATATTATGCTTAGCAATGTTTTATGTCTAGCAATATTTTATGTCTAGCAATATTTTATGTTTAGCAATGTTTTATGTTAGCAACTTTTTATGCTAAAAAATATTTTATATCATAGATATGAAAATATTTGAAAGTAAAAATTCAGATTCCTACAACAACAAATATTTATGGCGATCAGCTGAATTATCTGTAAGTCCAGTGAGTTGTTTTCCTCTTTCAAAGACACACAGGGGTGGTGAATAGACTCGAAGTGACCAGTGACGCATCGTTCCAATGTACAATTGGCTTTCGGAAATTTATGCATATTTTTTCTCTTTAATTTAAATCTAATTCTAAAATACGGAACAACGAGAGGTTGACAGGAAATACTTCGTCTTGTCCTCGTCTCCTTATCCAGTCTGCAGAATACTTAAATAACGGTGCAGTAGTTGAATCAAAATGTTAAAATAGATCGATTTAATGCAGATGTACATCTATCAGAGCGAATGCCAGTGCTCAGCGACGAAGTCTCTCTCTCTCTCTCTCTTCCTCTCTCTCACCAGGTAACCGACGCCTAACTTGCGCTCCTCTACACTGCCGCTAGCCTACTCGTCTGCGTTCTCCTTCCGTTTATCGCACTTCCTGATTGGTGCTGATTTCAACCTGAAGTCTTACGCAAAGATTAGCTAGTCAGTGGAACCTTTAACGAATCGGACATTCTAGCAGCATGCTCTAACACCATAGTCCTCAATGCGTTTGCAGTGAAGTCATCAAAGACCATGTAAAAGTTTTTATTGGAGCTGTTTTCTACGTGGCAGCTTCCAAGCTCAGCGCATAACCTAGCTATTCAAATAGCCGCACATACAAGCTTCCTCTCTTGTAGGAGTGGCCTAGGGCTCCATCCATCCATTAAATCGACCAATCAATACAAAACTTTGTATAGGTCAAGTTCCGGCCTACTTGCCGCTACGCACCAAACTTTTATCAAATCGAGCCACAAATAAAAATGTATTTTTGTGACAGGTGGCAACTCTTCCAAAAATATTCAAACTCCACAGGAACAGTTTCGGGGTTTCAATAAAGCATTTCTGTAAATTTGAACTAAATCGGCAAAGTAGTTCCCAAGTATATAGCCAACTTAGAAACATTCATCTTCTTCTTTTATATATATATTAGATGTAGTAAAAAAAAATTATATAAAATTGAATGGTTTAATTTTTTCCTTACTCAAATGGCGCCAAACGGTTTTTTATGCAATCTTTAACTCTTGGACAAACGAAAAAGTGCTTACATCATAGTCGAACTGGACAAGGTCTATGATTTTATCGACAATTGGCCTACCACAGTATCAGGACCATTAACGCTATTAACATTTTCAGTCGCCTGACTTTCGTTTTCGCCCTTATCGCAGAAAAACTGTGCAATTTAGAGTATTTTCTATTTGCCAGCGTCCATCAGAGTTATCCAATCCCAAAACTGTTAAAAAAGGTTTTTAGTACGAAATGTCATGTTTCTAACGCTATCTAGCGGAATCTGATGGGACCTATATACAACGTGAGATACAGATAAATAACGTTATCTGCTATATATATATTAGTTTCATAAATTTTGAAATAATTTATGGTTTCCAAAAAAAGAAAGTTGCACTAAAATACTTGAAATAAACCTTTGGAGAAGTTCATAAATCATTTATGCCTAAAAGTATGCAATATAAATATGTGGGCAAAGAATTTGATTTACCTAAATATGAAAACAAGGTTAAATAAAGTTTAGAAACACAATAAGCACGCTTAACGGTTACTAAATAGTTTTGCTTCGATGCGCATTTGAGCTAATAATTGCTCTACTACACTGTTAAAGCTATAAAAATGAGCAAAGCTAATATTCCAACAAAAAATTCTATATTTTTTATAAAACATTAAGAGTACTATTACATTATAATATGACGGTGATTACCATTAATAACTATTTAAAGCCATTCAATGGAAATTACGCGGATATTAGAGTAGGTGTAAATCACAAAACCACTCGAACTACCCGCATATGCAAATAACACACCCACATTGCACACTCACAAACAAAGAATTACTCAAAATGCTAATAATTTGTATTATTGAAAAGCATTAAGCAATAAAATTTGTAGAATCCCCATTTCGCTGCACAAAAATCCCCCTTTCTGCTTAACTACATTTTCACTATTTACTATTTAATTACGATTTGGTAGTCAACACTTAACACCCATGTGGTGTATTTATACATATGTACATACATACATACATATGTGTGTACATTAATTATGCGGGAGATAAGAATACAACACAAAAATTTATTCTGACATTGTGTAGTATATAAACTTATCAGCATTGGCCAAAGCAATTCAGTTGTTACTCGAAGGTATTTACGCGAAGTTCTCGACACGCTTTTGGTTTCTGTACTAAGCAGACGCGATTACATAATAATAATTTGCAAATCACTAATCGAAAAAGAAATATACATATATATATATATAAACAAAATGAAATTCCTACAACTTATCGCATCTTTACTTTTGGGCCTCATACTTTTGGCCAGCCTAACAACTGCTGCTCCAGCTGAGGAGGAGAGAGCTTTCTGCCCCTGTCCACGGAACTTCGATCCAGTGTGCGCTGCCAATATGGTCACCTATTCGAATCGTTGCGAATACGATTGTGTACGTCGTGATGTGGAGCGCCGAGGACGCAGTTTGAATTTATTGCGTTCTGGACCTTGCTAAGCCATGATTTCTACTGATTTTTATTGCGAATTTTTTTTTTAATTGTTTTTATGTGACAACTTAATCCCAAAACTTGTAAGCTGTGCAAAAGTGATGACAATTTTCTTATGTCGTTGATTAACGGAATAAATATTGTATTTTATTTATGAAAAAGAATCTTTGTTTAATTTTACCCGCATTAGTCATTATCCACTACAAATTCGTATTTATTTTCTGATATCTGCTTAAATGTGTTTGTGTACACGTCAATATATACCGTAAATTACGCCTTCATGGCAGGCTATATACCTTATCAGTTATCATATCGCTATCGGTGTGATGATATTTTTCAAAAACAAATTCAATGACTGATAAATATTGAAAACAACACCAACGTTTTCCTTGGGGAAATATATAAATATGTGTATACAAATTGATAGCATTACAAAGATTAATAGTGAAACAAGATTAGCCACTGTAGCCGAAGTGAAACAATATTAAATAAAATTATTTAATATAGAATTAAATAAAAATAACATTAACGAAATAAAATGATTTAAAGTTAAATACAGCTTGCTTAAATATAAAAAAAATTAATTTAATTTTATTAAATTTAAAAACTAAATTAAAAAGTGTAGTTAAAATTAAATTAAGTTAAATAAACAATAAAAAAACAAATATGTTAATTAAAAACCATAAAATCATTTAAATAGTTTCAAATAAAACGGCAACTGAAATGCAATTAAATACTTACTTATACAATTGTAAAATAAAAACTAAAATAAATTTATATTAAGAGGGCACACCTGGTGTAGGATTTCAAAAAAATCGATCTATTTTCCATACTTCGGTAGATAACACCTTTAGAAATAACATATTAAAACTTCAAATCGATATTTTAAATAGTTTTTGACTTATAGCAATTTAAAGAGCAGCCGCTCGGCAGCTAGATAGTCTCATTAGCTACGAGTGAAAACGATCATTTTATCTTCAAACGCGTTTTTCTCGAAACAGCATTTTTCGAATTTGCTGCAGTGATTACTCAAAAACAAATGATCTGATCACTATCTAATTTTTTTACATGTTCTATATGTAGTTCTCCGCACAATGACATATCAATTTTTGATCTGATAAAAAATCGAATTTTGGCAGGCCAAAACGACAAAAATTTTGGGTAAAATTCGACTATTTTTTTTAAAACGCCGCGATATTGTAAATTTTTTTTATCATAGGTCATTGTACAGACAATATTATCTAGTAGAGATTTTTTTATAGATTTCATTCACGGAGAAGGCCGAAATCACTGCCGCAGTGAAGGACCTTTTTTTCGCGCCGTTAGAGATCGATTATAACTTAAAAAATATTCATTTTTTTTTTTAGAAATTTCACTGTATATTCTTGGCTATGTATGAATATATTCTTAAAATTTTGAAATAATTGATAAAGTATTTTTTTTTAATAAAAATTTCCAAAAATAACCTTTTTTTAGGACATTACACCAGGTGTGCCCCTTAATTAGAGCTAAATTAAATTACATAAAAAGCATTAAAATGGTATTAAGATAAAATAAAATATAAAAAAATACCAAATAAAATAGATTAATAAAATAAACTAATAAATAAACGACATAAGATAAAAAAACATTGATAAATAAATCATAACTGATTATCTATATTGAAAGAAAAAATAAATTAAGTCAAAAAAGTTCAGCAAAACAAAGTAAAATTAATTTCATTTAATTTAATTTAATGAAAAAATCTAATCTATTTAATTAAATCAAATTAATTAAAATTAATATAAGCTAAATCATAATAAATTAAATACAATAACATCAAAAACTTAAGGGAAATTATATTAAATATAGTAAAAGAAAATTATATGAGAAATTAAACCAAAATAAAATACAAAATTAAGAAAAGTAATAAGCAAAGACTTAATATGTTAAATTCAAAATTTCTATTATGCACCATATAATGCTATTTGAAGGTAGTAATTATGCCTCTCTCTCATAGAAACTCTTGTCCCTATTAACAAAAATTGTGAAACGCGTTTTTCACAGTCTCCCTTTCGGAGCTTCTGGCGACACCCTCTCGATGTGTGTGAGGTCTAGCGCTGTTCTGATGGCTCAAAATTCCCCTTCTGTGAGTCACTTCCGTATGCTTCTGGCCGATTGCTTCCTTTAGATGGACCAATCACGAGCTTGTGGATGATTCCTTGTCAATCCCAACCAACAAATAGGTAAATCTCCCTGGCTATCAATTTTAGTTTCTAAAGAGCTGATTTGAATGTTAAAAACGTATTATACTCGGTAAAGCGATAATTCAAAAATTTTCCGTTTCCAAAACTACAGAATAACGTGTTTGTAAAGGTAAACATCACACAAAGGCGTCTTCTTACAGCCCAATAATCCTACTGCCTTGTTTTTCCAAATTATTCAAAAAAAAAAGACTGCTATCTAAGGTCGTGTATCCACAGGCAATCACTGATTTGCTGACATATATGTTATAAAAGAAATTGTCTGTGGAGACTGGGGATTCCCAATGATCGCCAATATAAGTCAGAACTTATTGCCAGCCATCGATTGTAAAGCTTTCAAAGACTACTAGAATTTCATTTGCACAAAAGCTTACTGGTGACAAGGTGATATGAAGTTTAACGGTTTTTTCTATCCTCTTCAATACATTTTTTAGCGTTTCTAATTGAATTGTAGCTTTAATGTAGCAAACATGCCTAATTTTTCTTGAATCTATTCTAAAACTATCCAAGAATTTGTCTTCAAATTTTCAGTGGACAAATTTATATAAATAGTTTAGAAGATAGAGCAGTTTTATTGGCCGAGCGTCAAGCAGGTTCGAACGCTCGGGCAGAACTTTGATGGAAGTTTTCTACAGGTTTCTCATTTTTTCAAGTCTTAGAAAAGAAATTCCAGGTGGTCTAGCTTCAGTTTTAAATTATCTTTTATTTGAACTAAAAAAGTTTTAAAAAATTTTCCAAGTACTTCGTTATTTTTTTAGTTCATATAAAAGAGACACTAATAAAAATTAAAAAAAACAATTTGGTTCGACTGTTTTAAATGCATCGCACGACCTTCACCGGCACCGTTTCACAAGTCCAGTCGGCAACCGCTTCACAACACTCATCACAGCACTGGAAAATTAAAATATATTTTGATACTAAAAATTGTTTTTCGAAGCTTAAATATAGTATATTTCTGTCTGAAAATTTCGTTTAAAAATTGCGGGGAAAATTTTTTTTCGGGTTCTAAAAGAGACTATTGCCTTAAGAAGGCCAGGGTTTGAATCCTGGCTTGACTAACGCCAAGAAACAATGGAATATCAAGATACATACCATAAATTCGAAAAGAAGCTCGGCCGAAATTCGCCAATTATACAAGTGTATGTATATACCTAGTTTTGTGCTAAAGCAGCTTCAATAACAAATCATTTATGTTTATAATATATATATATATATATATATATTGTTTGTAGAGTAATAAAGTCTCATTACCACACAAGAAAAGGTATAACCAAATTAAGTTGTGATAAATTTTATTTGTATACATATATATATATATATATATGCATATTAACGTGTTTATATTTATTTTGTTTCCCCAAATTTCTCAATAAAAAGATGAAGAATAATAAAATTGCCTAAACTCATTTTACTTTTTCTCTCGAAATCTCTTTTATTTTGCAGGAAATCCATTAAAATGCATATTTCAAAATTGATCATTTTGCTTAATTTCTCTCTCCTAATAATAACGCTGCTGCGTACGGATGCCTTGAAATATTTGGCTCTCACTGAATTTTCATTAAAATTTCAATTTGCATATCACTTCCGATGATTTTCAATAATCATTGAGGAAGTTGAGCACATTATAACTAATTGTGCTTGGGATACCAATATTGGCTTCATTATGTAAAGTAAGGTAAAATTAAATGTATAATTTAATTTGCAATTTTTTTCTTACCGTTATGCAATTATAGTTGGCGATGTGTGCCAAGTGAAGCAGAAGTAAAACTAAAATAAAATAATTTGGCTAAACTAACGTTGCTGTCAAGAGTGTCATTGGCATCAAAAATATAATATGTACCAAAAAAATAAATAAATATGTAAATAAAAACTAAGCAACCACTATTTATGCGACACTTTCACGCTAAATTGTCGCCAATAAAATTTTCACTAATAACTCAATTGTAATATGGAGAAAGTATGTGTGTCGGAAAAAAGATTAAAATTAAAGCAAATATATATATGTAAATGTAATAAATATGTCTATGTGCTAGTGAAAACTAGCTCATAAAATATATGCGCAAAAATATCACACCAAAGCATTTTTTTTTTTTGTGCATTAAAAGTATTAATTGTAGACATAAATTTTGTAGTTAGACTGATAAAGTAGGTTTTTTGACAACGACAGCAGGAAAATTTGTTATACAAATATATTTATACTCATATATGCCAAATTTAGTAGGCTCAAATGCTGCCAAATGAAGCTCTGCTCGAAAAAAGTTGATCAAACAAGCCACTAGTTACCAAGTTGTATATATAAATATATCACACTTTGGTATTTAACGGTCATTCAATGGATTTGTATCTTTCTATTGTTTTGTACATTGTTATTTTTTACTTCTGAATTTGAAATTATGTTTCTACCATTTTTTTTTCAACTCAATTTTTTTTATGTTAGGACAATACATAGTAGATAAATTATATTGGTTTTGTTTGATATTTAAATATTTGTTTATATTCAGACAAGGTATAATAAGCAAATATATATATTCCTTTTTTAACTTAAATATTTGTGTGTATTTAAATAAGGTTAATAAATAGAAAAAAATACATTCTTTTTTATTTGAAAAATTTCTTTTTATTCTAGAGAAGATATAAAAATTAGAAAAAATATATTTAATTTTTTTTAATTAAACTATTTTTCTATATCTAAACAAGGTATAATATATAACAAATAATATAATTTTTTAAATTTAAATATTTTTTTGGATTAAAAAAATATATATAATTTTTTGATTTATTTTAAATATTTGTTTATATTCATACAAGGAATAGTATATAGAAAAAATATGTATTGCTTTTTTTAAGTTAAATACTTGTGTATATTCAAAGAAAGTATATTAAATAAAAAATATATATGTATTCTTTTTTTTATTTAC